TGTAGCATACCCAACTTCACAGCCCTATTTATAATGCCCTTGGAGGCCTGATTGGTGCTAATGTTGGTTTCATTCCCGTGATAAGTTAAAATTCAGCTTTTTTATTAAAGCCATTGGGGCCTAATGAGTTCATCCAGATCAGTACTTTAAAAGCTTTTTAAAACTTTAACTTTTTTTTCGGTTAATTCAGATGTTTTCAGAATGTTTACATTATTTTTGTGGTTTTAAATTTAAATTTTATTGCATTGTAAGCTGGCTAGAGATCTTGCAAGGTGCAACATATATGTATAGACATATATGTGAAAAATAAATAAATTAGAACCCAACATTTAGAGGTACAGTAGGCCCTTGGTATCCACAGGGATTTGGTTCCAGGACCCCCATGGATACCAAGGTTCATCGATGCTCAAGTCCCATTTAATGCAGTGGCATAGTCAAATGGTGTCCCTTATAAAAAAAAAAAAGGCAACATCAAGGTTTGCTTTTTGGACTTTATATGTTTTTGAACATTTTCAAGCTGTGGATGACTGAATCCATGGATAAAGAATCAATAGATATGAAGGACTGACTGTATACTGAATGCTCCTGGATATGAAGGTTCCATTTTGTTAATGAGACACAAAAGAGCTGCAAAGAGACTTCTGATATAATTTACCAGCCATATAAATCCACAGCCATTGCCTCTGTCCTACAGCAGCGGGTTCTACAATTTACCTATGGCCTTTCAGAACCTTTTCATGGAAGGTAACATATATACTTGTAACTCAAAACATCAGGCTTACCCAGCAAGAGACTCTTGTCCACCTTCTCTTGCACTTCCTCCTCCTCATCTTCTTCTTCTTCTGCATCCTCCTCTTCTTCTATGGAGAGACAGCTTTCCACAGCGTCTGATGGCTCCTGCTCCAATGTAGGAGAATTAACAAATGCCTCTTCCAGTAATCCAGACCCCTGAAACATATGCATGTATTATTAGTCAAGGAACCAAGATCCAAGGCTTATAGCCTGAAGGCACAAGATGTAGCAAACTTGAAGAAGCAAGAGAAACCTGGTCTCAATGGGAGACTGCCTAGGAACCCAATGTAGTCCCCTGAACAACTAAAAAAAGTAAACCTAGGGATGACAGATGTTGTAGTCCAAGACTCCTGGAGGACACCAAGGAGTCTACAGTTTCCTGTGGCAGAAGATACAAGCCACAATTAATGAAGCAGCACTCTGCTGGATCAAAACCAAAGTTCCATCATATTCTGTGATACTCAATAAAGGTATCGCTGGTTTGGATGTTATTGTACTTTGTTGCATGGCCAATGAGGCTACCCCAGATATATATTCTGGTTCTGCGGTGGCCATCCAGATGCGCAAAGTCAACCCACAGCAAGACATGAAACAGGCCAACAGCACCTTCCTGTGATCAAGCTGTTGACTCTCAAACAGCACAGGAAGAGCAGTGTTGTAGATGGCTGACAGGTATGTATGACCGGAAAGAGGCAACGCTGAAGGTATTTGTGAGCTAATGATTTTAAATGGTTTTAAAATTGAATGACAGCCAAAAGAAAGGTGGGATAGCAAGTAAGTAAACAAAAGTCAAAGCCCATGCAAAGAATAGGATCTTATACAGAAATATATCAAGTGGCTAGAGCCAGTTTGGTGTAGTGGTTTGAATGTTGGACTACAGCTCTGGAAACCGAGTCTGAATCCCTGCTCAGACATAGAAACCCAATGAGTAGCCTTGGGCAAGTCACACTCTCACAGCCTCAAAGGCATACCCCCCCACCCCCAAACAAATCTTGCCAAGAAAACTTCGTGGTAGAGTTGCCATAAGTCAGAAACTATCTGAAGGCATATAGAATAACAACAATAATAGACAGAAAGGGCTTCCCATCCACCTCCCAAGAACTTGGGAGTCATCCAAAAAAGGCTGAGTGGTGGAAGATTCCGGCTAGAGCCCACTGAAAGAACTTCATACACCCCCTGTGATCTTTGAAAACTTGTGTAAGGTATTTTGTGCTTTTTGGTTGGCATAATCAAGTTAGCAGCACTATGCGTTTTTTTGGATTTTGCTGCAGTTTTCTGCGTAGCATCAACATGGCTATCTCTAGATATGTTATCTTTTGGATCTGAAAATCCCAAATTCAGTTGTATTGAGGGAATAGAAGCAAACGGACTGGGGATTTTCACTTCCAATTAAGGTAAAACAATTTGAAATGGCAGCTATTGGAACATTTTGCCTTTTACAACCCCTAAATTTGTCTCCAGATGTGTCAGTACTGAGGCTTAAGGGTCTCACTGTATTCTGCTCATTAGGTTGAATCGTCCTTATCCGAAATGTTTGGGACCAGATGCGTTTTGAATTTTGGATTTTTCTGGATTTTGGAATACCTGTATATACATATACATACATAATGAGATACCTGGAGATGGGATGCAAATCTAAACACAAAAGTCTTTTATGTTTCATATACACCTTACACAAGGGGCTAGCAACCTGCGGGCCGCACCCGGCCCGCAGACCCCGCTGACTGGCCCCCGCTGACAACCGTCGTTGCCGTGCGTTCCCGCAGCCGCGCTCGTCGTAACCACCATTTTGTTTGCCAAAATGGCAGCCATGACGCGTGCGGTGGCGGCAGTGCATGCGGCAACAGTGGTGGCAGCGTGCGGCAGCAGCGTGCACAGCGGTGGCGGCACGTGAGCACACGCGCTGCCATTCCCCCAACCCCCGGCCCGCCAGAAAACCTGGGGACCAGCAACCGGCCCCAGGTAAGGTAACATTGCCGACCCATGCCTTATACACATAGCCTGAAGGTACTTTATAAGGTATATCTTAAATAAGGTATTTCCTAGGCTCCAAATCCTTACTTTTTGTTCCTGGTTCTCAGCCTCTTGCAGCCTCAAGAGGAAGCTTTCAGCTAAGGCCAGGGCCTGGGCACAGGTGGCAGGCCCGCTTTTGCAGACCCAGATCTGCATCTCCAGGGGAAGGATGGTCAGGAACTGCTCTAGGACCACTAGGTCCACAATCTGCTCCTTGGTGTGTCTCTCTGGCACCAGCCACTGGTGGCAAAGTTTCTGTAGTTCACTCAGGACCACCCGGGGCCCCTTGATCTCCTGGTAACAGATGTGCCGAAAATGCTGGCGCTTTATCTCCAGGCGGTCTGGGTCAACCTCCCCTGGAATCTGTTCCTTCAACCTTCTGGAACTTTCTGAGCTTTCACAAGCCTCTTGGGTTTTTCTGCCAAGGTCTGGTAATGTATGCATTACTATGGCACCTCCTCCTCCTCTTCCTCCTGGCAACCAACGGGCTTCTTTTACAGCTCGATACGAAGCCTTAAATGCCTTCATATCCTCATTTGAGAGAGGCTCAAATAACCGTGATGGTCTCCACACTGAATAAGGAGAAAGTCCTGTGCTTGGGTCTTTTTCTTGGTGCTGAGCATCCAGCTGAAGTTTTAGTCTCTCACCCTTTGCTTGTTTCTTCTGTGTTTGAGCTGTCCTGCTCAACTTCTCTCCCATGGCCTTTCCTTGGAACACATGTGACTCTTTTCCTGCTTCTTCTTCTCTTCGCCCTGGTCCCAGTAGGTCACTCTCAGCCATTTTACTTCCTGACTGCACCACCAGAGCTGGAAAGGAAAAATCAGAATATATTATCAGATGCAATGCATTGCCTACTGTACACTTGAACTCAGCAGAGTTTTTAAAACTTTAGGAACAACAACAAAACTATTTACAGGACCAAGGCACCTCAAAAACTGCCTGCTTGCATGTGAACTGGCTCACTCTTTAAAGCTAGACATGGCACCTCTGATTTCTGGCTCAATTATATATGATGTCACAAAGTCGCTCTGACAGAGTTACAGTCCAAAAAGGTACTTTTCACAAGCTCTTATAAGTGCTATTCCACAATCAACAGTTCCCACCATTTGAACAGTGACGTTTACATTACTGTAAAACTAATAAGCCAGCACAGTGTAGCAGTTTGAGCATCAGATTAGGGCCCTGGGAGACCAGGGTTCAAGTCTCTGCTTAATAATGGAAACTCAATGGATGACCTTGGGCGAGTCATACTCAACTCCAGAAAACCCTGTGATAGGTTTGTCTTACAATTGCCATAAGGCACACAACAATTACTACTGAAAACCTTTCATGAAAAATTATCTTAAAATAATAATTGTGTTATTTTGTTCATTACTGCCTTTTGGATATTTTAACTGAGGCTTTTTTTTTAAAAGTGGGGCTAAAAAAAAACTTACATTGGGCATAGGATTGCCAGGTTTTCAAAATCGCAGTAAACATTCAAAAGGGGGGTTGACAATCAAGGAATGACTAATCACAAAGTTGTTTTATGTCATTATCTGAGTTTCTCAACTTACCTGCCATAGTCATTAGAGACCTGCATTGCCTATAATATATTATATGTTATATACTAATACTATTTGATGTTTTTTTATTGTTGTGTGCCTTCAAGTCATTTCTGACCTATGACAACCTTAAGGCACAGAGTTTAAGGGGTTTTCATGGGGTTTTCTTGGCAAGTTTCTTTAGAGGAGGTCTGCCATCACTATTCTCTGAGGCTGGGACAGTGTGATTTGCCCAAGGTCGCCCAGTGGGTTTAAATGGCCGAGCCAGGAGTCAAACTCAAGAGTCATAGTCCAATACTCAAACCACTACACTATGCTATGTTACATTGTGCTAATACTGGATGAGGGGACGTATAGTTATGTGTTACTCTTAAGACAGCTGTCCATGTTCTTTTGATGTTTAACTAACAGATGAGATACAAGGTACGGGAACTCTTGATTATTTCAGTTTCTCATTATCTATATATACAGATAGATTTATCTCCTCAGAAGAAAGTTCCCCTTTATGCAGTTATTGACGAATACATATGGTATTATGACCTTAAGAGTGCAGACCTATGAACAACTCCTGGAAAGTAAACCCAGCAGAATTGAGTGGGATGAATCCCCAGGAAAAGTAGATTTAAAATCTCAATTGTATTTAGTATGACAGCCAGCATGGCACAGTGGTTTGAGTACTGAACTATGACTCTGGAGACCAGAGTTTGATTCCCTGCACTGCCATGAAACCTCTTGGGTGACCTTGGGCAAGTCACACTCTCTCAGACTCAGGGGAAGCCAATGGCAAACCTCCCCTAAACAAATCTTGCCAAGAAAACCCCATGATAGGCTTACCTTAAGGTTGCCATAAGTCAGAAGCAACTTAAAGGCACACAATAACAACAACAATGGTATTTAGTCATGTGATTTGGTATTATTCTCTAAACATCACTCTCATAATCCCCCTCCAGATTAAATATTGATCTTCTCCCTCTCTCCCACCCTTTGGCCTTCACAGGTCTCCTCAAGAAGTAAAAGCCAGAGAGGTGTGAGAGGCTGAATGCCACAAAAGTGGATGGCTTTTGGCCAGGAGACCATGTAGCTGAGACCCCTCTGTAAGCCATTCATTAACCCCCTTCAATTTAAATATATAAAAATAAACGCACCTCATGCCCCCTCCATTGAGCTCAGTGGAAAGCAACCAAACTTTGGAAAGAAATTACTGGCTGGTTACTCCCAACACACACACCCTCCATTATATTTGAATATATTAAATATATCAAAATCAAATATATATGACCCTCCACCACTTCCTTCTAAGATTAACAACAACAACAATATAAATTTATTTCCAAAATTTTATCATTTTACATTTGGGCCTCATTCTCCCTCTATCAACCTCAGTGTAACACAATCAAATTTTGGAAATAAATTATTGACTGGTTAGTCCCAACAGTCCCACCATTTATAGTTAAACATATTCAATATATAGGAATACATTAAATATATAAACATTAAATATCTATGATCCTCCTCCACCACTTCCTTCCCCCTTCTAATAATAATAATAATAATAATAGATTTCCAAAATGTGATTACTTTGCATTTCCCCCTCCATCGAGCTCAATATAACACAATTAACATTTTGGAAATGAATTACTGCCTGGTTAATCCCAACAGTCCCCCCCCCCCAGTTATATTTAAATATATTGAAGATATTTGAAGACATTAAAGATATCAAAATCAAATATCTATACCCCTCCACCCCTTCCTTCTCCTAATAATAATAATAATAATAATAATAAATGTATTTTCAAAATTTGATCACTTTGGCCTCATTCCCCCTCCATCTACCTCAATGTAACACAGTCAAATTTTGGAAATAAAACACTTGACTGGTTGTTAGTCCCAACAGCACCCCCACACCATTATATTTGAATACATTTGAATATATTAAATATTTATAACTATCTATCCCCCTCCACGCCTTCCTTCCCCTTCCAATAATAATAATATTAATAGTAAATTCCTTCCCCATTATATTCGAATATATTTGAATATATTAAACATATATAACTATCTATCCCCCTCCAACCCTTCCTTCCCCTTCTAATAATAATAGTATAATACTAAATTCATTTCCCCAATTATATTTAAATATGTTAAATATATTTGAATAAATATATATAACTATCTATCCCCTTCCTCACCTTCCTTCCCCTTCTAATAATAGTAATAATAATAGTAAAACCCTTCCCCTGTTGGAGCCTCACCCCTTTCCCTCTTCCTCTGCATCTTCTTCCTAAAAGTCCCGCGGAGCCTCCATTGCGCCAAGGATGAAGAAACATACAAAGGGCAGTTTCTCACCCGGGGAAGGAAGAGTGACGGACCGGAAAGAGGAGGCTAACGGGGACACTCGCTTCCGGTCCGCCCCCCCCACACGCACGGGCCGCTCTAGGCGCGGAAGTTCCATGGCCTCAACCCTTGGAGGAGAGAGACTGGAGCAGGCGCAGATTTGTTCTCCCGAGAACCTGCCCCCTAAAGGTTTAGTCGCCACACTGCAGGCTTAAAGCCGTTTGACGCAGCTTTAATGGCCACGGCTCTGTCTTGTGGAATCATGGGATTTGTAGTCTGAGGTGGCACTGTCAAATAAAGGCAGTTTGAGAGCACTATAACTGCCATGGCTCTGTCCTGTGGAACCCTGGGATTTGTAGTATGAGGTGGCACCAGAGCCCCCAGTGTATAAGAAAAGCAGTTTGAGAGCACTATAACTGCCATGGCTCTGTCCTGTGAAGCCCTGGGATTTGTAGTATGAGGTGGCACTGTCAAATAAAGGCAGTTTGAGAGCACTTTAGCTGCCATGGCTCTATCCTGTGGAGCCCTGGGATTTGTAGTATGAGACATCAGAACCCACAATGTATAAGAAAAGCAGTTTGAGAGCACAATAACTGCCATGGCTCTGTCCTGTGGAGCCCTGGGATTTGTAGTATGAGGCACCAGATCTCTTTGTTAGGCCAGGTGGAACACCTCAACAAACTACACATCTCAGGACTCCACAGGATAAAGTCTTGGCAGTTAAAATGGTCTCAAACTGCTTTCATTTTGCAGTGTTCACAGACTGTCACACGAAGCACCAGAAATGACACTGCAGAATGAATGCAGTTTGACACCACTTTAACGGCCCATGGCTCAGTGCTATGCGATCCTGGGATTTGTAGTTTGGTGGGGCACCAGAGCCCACTCTGCAAAAGTAATCCAGTTTGACACTGCTTTAACAGCCGTGGCTCAATGCTATGGGATCCTGGGAGACTTTGTGACTGAAGAGTGGGGTATAACTTTGTGGCTTTTCTTCGCAAACGAAGATTCAGGAAGGACTCATCCCTCGCTTTCTGCAAGCACACTGATGACTAAAAAGGCCAATTCGAGATAAACAAGTCCGGTTGCAGAAGGCACAGCGGAAGGTCTCCTTGTAAATACTCTAAATAAAATAAACAAATATCCTGGAACTTGTAGTTCTGTGAGAGATTTAGCCTTCTCTGTCAGAGAACTCTGG